CAGTGCGGTTGGCACAGGATAGAGCAGGGTTTAGGGCTGTTGTGCATAGGGTCGCTATGAATCGCAAACGACTCGATGGCACATAACAATAACACAACAACATCAGCCCTTTTAACTGGGCTTCCCTCCTCGAGGACCAGCCCCTGGAGGGCGCGCCTGCTCGGTGAGATTTCTTCCGCCCACGTGACCTGCACAGGCCCCGCCCCCTCGCCAACATGGCGGCGCCCAGAGACGGAGGCAGCACGTGAGGAACCATCCGCGCAGTAGGGCATCAGAGTGCAAGCGTGAGAGCTAGTTATCTCTGACCTACCGTCAAGTGGACCCCTTTCACGCCCTCGTGGCCGCTGCCTGTCTGCAGCCATGAAGATAAAGCCCGTTTCCCACAAGACCGAGAACACGTACCGGGTGAGCCTGGGCGCTTGGGGCTGGATCCGCGGCTTCCAGTCGCCCTGCGTGTAGGGTTGACATTGAGCGGGTCTTTGTGGGGCTGCAGAGTTCCTGGGCCAAACCATATGCCCAGAGACTCCAAAGAAGGAGGGATACTCAGGATGTAGTAAACATGGGACGGGTACGGCGGGACAAAGACGTGCATCACTTTTTGCATAAGCATTGGTGTCCTGGGCAGCAGATTGCACCCGTGTCTGTGGGGTCTGGGATGCGGTGGGAACCCCCTTTCTGATTCCAGAGTTAAAGCTACTGTTACAGGGATAGTGCTGAATGGGGGGGGGGGGCCGAGGTAGGCTGATGCCAGGGGAAGGGAGTGGTTCCCAGCCTATAGCCAAGTGGTAAACTTTGTGGAAAACCTGTTGGAGATTGCTTTCCTTGTCTTCCTTGCTGCACTATGAACAACCTGTGTTATGTTTAAAAACACTAGCATTCCAACCATTTAGCCACATGCTTGTTCTGGAATCGTCGCCACGGTCAGGAGTTAGAATTTTGTTGGACGTGACAGTGATGAAGAAGTTTATGCAAATTCATTCAAAAAAGAGTAATAGTGAAATTTCCACATCAGGGGTTTCAATGCTTAACGGTCCCTTAGCTCAGTTATAAAATGAAATATAACTGAAGAAAGGCCATAAATATCTAACAAACTCTTTGAGAAATGAAAAGAAGAAAAAATTCTTTTCTCCATAAGGACATATAATGGCAATTACAGCATTTAATATATATACATACATACATACATGCATACATACATATATAGTTGGAAGCAGAAGTGGCATCGCTTGCTAAACAACATAACTCTGTGAACTTTGAGAAATGACAATAGTTATAGAAAGTTACAGAAAGGCTTCAGGTCTTTTGTTCATAGGGTTGCTATGAGTCGTGCTTGACGGCAATCAACAACAACATTCTAAAAAAGTATTCTCTTTCATGGAATAGAAATACAGTGCATTTCAAGCTCTGTGTATTTCTTTTTATCTATATACCTGTTCTATGTGATTGTTTCATCATTGTCTGCATTTAGTTTTAAAATTCAATTATACATTTATGATTGATACGGGGGAAAAAAACCCTAAAATTGATCACTGTAGTAAGCAAAGAAATGGTATCAAACCAAAAGCCTTTAACTCTTTGACATCAAAAATTGACTCAAAATTACATTGTGTTTCCAAAGCTGTAATTCCCATGGTAGATTGCCCTGCAGAGTCCCTGGTATAGTTGAACTGGCAGAGAAGTGTGATCTTTGGATTAACAAGACAACTTCCTGTGAACTGGGTCACCAGAGCTTCCAAGCAATCAAAGCATAATACTGTTTTTGATGACAGTAATTAAGGTTTATCGAAATACTCCGAAAAAGGTTGAGGCTTGAAGCTTTATAGAAAATTGCCTTCATGTCCCTACTGTACAATTATCAAACAGATACTAAAGACATGATAAGTATTAAAAGACAATGTATCATAGAGAAATACTTTTTTTCTCCTTCAGTTTCTTACATTTGCTGAGCGACTGGGAAATGTGAATATCGATATTATTCATCGAATCGATAGAACTGCAAGTTATGAGGAGGTAAGAATTCTGTCTTAGCCAAATCTTCAGGTATTCATTTGTTTTAGTTTCTCACTATTAGTAGAAGTGAGTTGTTTTTCTAGCCATTCATTTTACATGAACTGCATTACAACTGTTCTGTCTAATGTAGTAGCCTCGGATGGCAAATTAGATTTAAAGTAATCAAATCTGGTAGTTGATTGTAACATGTAGTGTGACTCTGTAGGGTGGATAGAACTGCTTCCATAGAGTTCCAAGACTGTAAATCATTACAGAGGCAGACTGCCTTCTCCTCCTTTGGAAGAGCAGATGGTAGGTTTAAACTGTCGAACTTTCAGAGAGCATCCACTGCACTACCAGAGCTCCTTCAGATAAACGTATATTAAAAATTAAAGTGCTCACTAAGCGCCATGTGGCTAGTTATTACTGAGTTGAACACGTGTGGATTTGAAGCATTTCTGTCAATATTGAAAGTTCTTTTGGACAATGTTGTGTTAGATTATTACTTGATAGGAGAGGCATATTACTTCTCCAAAAGGTTGTAGCAGTTCATATTTCCCTGAATGGAAGAACTGCAAAAATACAGTCCATATTCTGTGCATTAGATTGTAAAAATAGACGTTTGCCTTAAGGTGAGTTTTATATGGATTTTGGAGAATTATTGTGACTAAATTATGTTCATTTTCTTAGAAGGCAAAAAAGCAGTTTTTAAATTCTTCACTGTCATCATCTCAAGATAGTAATATATATCTTTATTTACCCCTTTATTTTAGTCATGGGGTTTTGTTTTTGTGTTTACTCTAATTCATTTTATTTCCTTTTTTTTTATTTGGTACAGTACATTTTCTTGCACTTAATTATCGTTACCAACTTTGCAATGTGGTTCCTCATTTTAGCTTTAAATTAGGCTCTTGAGTCATAGGGTCTTTTTGAGCTGTCTGATGAATGGACTGTTTTGGTCTTAACAGGAGGTTGAAACCTACTTTTTTGAAGGCCTGCTGAAATGGAGAGAATTGAACCTTACAGACCACTTTGGTATTTCTATTTGTTTCTATTTTATTTGCCCATCATTATTTATATTTTATATGTTCAGACAGCTACATGGTAGTAGTAATGAGAAAGTATAACCTGTTTTTATTTTTTATATCCACTAGGGAAATTTTATAAAGAAGTTATTGACAAATGCCAGTCATTTAATCAATTGGTCTATCATCAAAATGAGATTGTTCAGAGTTTGAAGACTCACCTGCAGATCAAGAACAGTTTTGCCTATCAGCCCCTTTTGGAGTAAGTATCTTGAAAGAACATTTGGCAACATTTATCTGAAAGATTGTATTTCATTTCTGTTAAATTAGAAGGAAAAACAATTTACCTTTTGTATTATATTACAAAATTAAGAAAAGATTTATTGCCATAAAGCGGAATCTTAAGAGTGATCTGTGTGTGTGCGTTTGGAGCTCTGTTGGTAAGGAGTTGTGCTGCTAACACAAAGGCAGGCAATTTGAATCTACTAGCTGCTCCACGTGAGAAAGATGTGCCGTCTCCTCCCATGTAGTTTACAGTCTGAAAACTTACTGGGGGGGCCAGCTGTGAGTAGGTTCCAGTTCTACAGCAATGATGTCCATGTGTATGTGAATTAGGTATATGTTGTATAACCATCCCCACTATCCGTTTCCATATTTTCTCCATCACCCTTAATGAATACTCATATTTACTCACTCATTGTCTTCAAGTCAGAACTGACTCACAGATGGACCCTCCAGTGGGTTTTCTGAGTCAGAAAAGAGGAGGAGATTGCCCGTCTTCCTACAGCGGAACAGTTGATGTATTAGTACCACCCCCCAATGGGTTGGCAGCACAATTCCTTACCATTAGGCCACCAAAACTGAGTGTCCCTTAAACAACGTCTTGCTTCTGTTTTTAATCCAGTTTGGTTGTGCAGTTGGCACGAGATCTGCAGACAGACTTCTATCCACATTTTCAAGATTTTTTCCTAACCATCACTTCAATCCTGGAGACTCAGGACACGGAGTTGTTAGAATGGGCCTTTACTTCGCTCTCCTATCTTTACAAATACCTTTGGAGGCTGATGGTAAAGGACATGGACAATATATACAGGTAACCTTTTCATCCTCAGTAATTTTTACATTTCCTCTACGTTTTTATTTGGCTTCTTTATGACTCTAAATTATGTCTCTAGCTTAGTCTCTTGTTATTTCTTTATATAAACTTGATTTTGCAGTCAAAGTGGTCCACATTGTATTCCTCTAGTCTTTTTTTTTTAAATCGAGATTTTATTGTAAGTTTATAAAGAACTTGGATTTCCATTCATTCATTATTACACATTTTCCTCCCTTGTCCACCTCCCCCCAGTTTTTTGGGTTTTTTTGTTTTTTTGTTTTGTTTTGTTTTGTTTGGGTTTTTTTAGGAAAAAAGTTCTTTCATTGTTATGCAGTCCCCCCCACAGACCAATTTCCTATGCAGCCCTTATTCTGGACTTTTGTCACACCAATAATACCTAATCATATATTCTTTTTATACAGTTCTCTCCCTTGTCCATTTCAGTGCTTTGTACATTATGCAACCTTGCCAGCATTTGTTTACTGTTCTGTTAAATTTTGCTGTTCTTAGTAGCGTGAGATGATATCTCATCCTATAGTTGTTTTGATTTGCATCTCTTTTAGCACTAGGGATTTTGAACATTTCTTTGTGTGTTTGTTTGCCATCTGAATGTCTTCTTTGGTGAAGCATATAGATGTTTTTAAATGAGCGTCAAATGACCAGAGGATAGTGGTTGAAGAATTCTTTGACTGATTTTTTCTGCCAGCCTTCATCTTTGTTTACCTGGATCCTTCAGTCTTCGGTTAACATGTATACATCTCTATTAAAATGTATGATTAATAAACATGTTTTATTTTGTTTCATAGCATGTACAGTACACTCCTGGCTCATAAAAAACTGCATATAAGAAATTTTGCCGCTGAAAGCTTTACTTTTTTAATGAGAAAGGTTAGTGTGATAATTTTTGTTTATTGCTAGTAGTTAATTCTTAAGAATCTATTAGATAGAAACAGATGTCTTTTTTTATGGACTCTTTTAAAGTACAGATAATAAAACTGAAGTCTATTCCTAGTTTGAATTTATCTCACAGTAAGGTTTAGTCTTTGCTCAGTAATGTGAAACAAGTTGGGTCAATATAATAATCTAGATTTATGTTGTGTGTGTGTTTATAAATATCTGTGTATATGTGTGTATTTATATATGTTTTTGATATGTACCATTGAATCGGGACCAACTCATAGTCCAGTAGGTTTTCAGAGGTAGTTAATCCCATGGGAAGATTGCCCATCCTTTTCCCATGAAGCAGCTGATGAATTCATTAAATAAATAAACAGTGATATTAACTGAAATTTATATAATAACTTCTTAGAAGGAACTCATTGCATAATGTGATTTATGTTTGTTTCTACAATAAGGTCTTTTACATCCTTGGTGGTACAAACAGCATGATAGTCTTGTAAATAAGAGATGGCCAGTTCAGGTTATCCCAAGGACATCTTGAGAGAGAGGCCTGGTGATCTACCATTCTCTATTGAAAACACCACCATGTAACATGGGTGCAGTCCTTATGATTCTGAATTGACTGGACAGCTTTTGTAGTAAAACAAAAACATTGGTATTAAGTTTCTTATGCTCATGAAACTATATGACCTACTTAAAAGAGAGAAAGTTGTGTTAGATAATTTTTGCTTCTACATAACCTTCATACCATACCAGTGGATTAATCTCTTGTACGTGACATTCCAAGTAAAAGTATACTATTATAGTAGCTTGAAATCTTTAGAAGTGTCTGCTCCTTTTATAAATGTCCCCTACCCAAACCATCTCTGCCATTGAATCAATTCCAGTGCCTGGGACCATATAGTACATAGTAGAACTGCCCAGTAAGGTTTCCAAGACTGAAAATCTTTAAGGGAACAGCTAATTAGTTTGAATTGCTGACCTTCAAGTTAAAATAACGTAATAAGATTTGGTTTTATGTTTCTGTTGTAAATAAGACTTTTTTTTCTTTTTTTTAAATTTTAGGTTTCAAATAAAGATGCACTTTTCAATTTAATGTTTCTTGATCTTGAACAACATCCAGAAAAGGTGGAAGGAGTGGGACAGTTGTTCTTTGAAATGTGCAAAGGCGTTAGAAACATGTTTCACTCTTGTGCAGGCAAGGTAAAGAACGGGGCCAGGTGGCAGGGATACTTTGGGTCTGTCTCAGAGAGATTAGGAAGAACATAATTATTCCAGGTATGAGGATGAGCTGGAACAAGAAGAAAGTCTTCAAAAGGGGAGTGTAACAGGTTTTAAAAACAATGCTTCATACTGTAAGCCCTAAGTGATTGAATATTTTTGGTTACTTAACAAAATCATTACTGTCTTCATTATGGGTACTAGGAGCTGCTTGGAGAGGGAGCTGATGGATGATAAAATTCTCTATCTTTCTTTGGAAATTCACTGGGGATGCGTAACTAGTGTAATTTTAAAACTATACTTGTTACTATTCCAAGTGTTTAAGGCATTGGTGTTATGTGCCAGTAAGTTGCAGCTGATCCATAGCTGACCCCTGGTGGAAATGGGGGTTTTCGAGGCAGTAAATCATGCAAGAGGACATTACCCATTTTTCTCCCTTGGAGCAGCTGGTAGATTCAAACCACTTTCCTTTGGGTTCTCAGTACAACTCCTTAGCTATGTAGCTAATATGTTGTTGTTAAGTAACTAACATAATGAGTGGTAAACCAAAGTGATATTCTTAAAAAAGAAGGGTTTACATGTTCATTTTAATGACTGTCGGATTCCCACAGGCGGTAAAGTTAATTTTACAAAAGTTGGGACCTATTACTGAAACAGAAACACAACTGCCATGGATCTTGGTTGGAGAAGCACTCAAAAATATGGTCAAATCCACTGCATTCTACATCGCCAAGGAGCATTTTGGTATATTTTTTGAATGTTTGCAAGTGAGTTCTAATTTTGTATGATTTGTGTATACTGAGGAGTCTAGTGTTCACTGTTGTTTTTAGTTCAGCAAACCACTCCTAAAGGTTATATTGTAGAATTGGGTTTTTTTTTACTTTACACAGATACTAGGTTCTTCCTCCTCCCTGGCTTCCCACCGTACTCTCTCTATTTCATATTTCGAGATACAGCAGAGCATAATTGTTCAGAGCTCTGGCTTTGTAGCCAGATTGCCTGTGTGTGAATCTTGGCTCTGCCACTCTGAGTAATATGTTACCTTTACTTCCAAGTACTGTGTTGCTATTAATACAAAAGAAGGTGGAAAGCAGACTTAAATGGTTTGATTGTAGTGCCTGCTTCTTTTTCTTCCATTGCAAAGAAATGTGGAAAGTTGAACTGAGTCACACAATATTTTCATTGTTGGATTAGCAGGTGTTTTTGATAGTCTATAGCCTTTCTCTTTGTTACGTTCTCCTTTTGCAGGAATCGCTCCTTGATCTACATACTAAAATAACCAAGGCTAACCATTGTGAAAGTTCTGAGCAGATTAAAAGGGTGTTGGGAACATATCTGATACTTGTGAAACATGGAAATGGATCACGTATAACCAACCCTGTTGACGTTTGTAAGGTGAGTGTGAGTCTCTGATTTCATTTGCTCAGAGTCTGTTTCACTAAAAGCCATTTATTAAACACATTGCTTTTCCTTTTCTTGTAGGTGTTGTCAAAAACATTGCAAACAACCCATCTGTCTACTGCTTGCCGAAAGACCCTCTTGGATGTTATTTCTGCTTTGATCCTGGGCGAGAATGTTTCTTTGCCAGAGAGCCTCATCAGAGAAACCATAGAAAAAGTAACGTACTGGAAAAATATTATTAATAATTGTTTAACATTGAGTAAGCCTCCTCAGAATATAATTAAAGTATGACAGAAGCTTTACCATTAAGGAATTTGTTAAGGAGAAATTAATTATAAAAGAAATAAAACAAGATATACTAGAAGCTAAATCCATTCAGCAAATACTTAGTGACTATGTAGCTTACCATGTGCCTGGGTCTCTGGGTTTAAGTATTCTAGGATGAAGAATAGGGCATCGGTGCTTTTCCCAGTGTTTTAGTGACAAAGAGTTCAACATGAATATTTATGATCTAGAAGGAAAAAAATCATACTGAATTATAATGATTCATTCTCCCTGGGCTTGAGGAACAGAGAAGTCTTTCCAAAGCACTATATTTGGAACAGTCTTTGATCGTTAGATAATAATCAGCCTGACCAAGGAGTTGAAAACACTCGGAAGTGATGAAAAATTTGACCTCAGATGTTATGGTTGTACACTACAACTCATGGCTCTGAACGCTTCTCTGTTCTGAGCCAATCTCACGGCCTCTGACACACCTTTTCTTATTACCTCAGCTTTTATGTCAATCCATTCTATCCAGGGTCTTCCTCTCCTTCACTAACCATCCACCCTTCCACCCATGATGTCCTTCTCCAAAGACTGACCTCTCCTGACTACATGCCCAAAATATGTGAGATGCAGTTTCAAAATTTTTTGCGTCCAAGTGGCAGCTTGGTTTCACTCTGTCCAAAACAGACTTGTTGTTTTCTTGGCTGTCCATGATATGTTCAGTACTCCAGCACCACAACGCAAAAGGCATCGTTTCTTCTTCTGTTATCCGTGGTCATTGTCCAGCTCTCTGATGTTTAGCAAGTAATTGTGAAGACCATGACCTGGATCAGGTGCACCTTAATCTCTAGACTGATATCCTTGCTCTTAGGCACTCTTTTTACAACAATCAAATAATAAAAATTAATGAAAAAAATAACATGAGAAGAAGAAATGGCAAAGGCATGTGCTTATAAATTTACACAGTCTGGGCATGTGAACCCACGAAGAAATGTAGTGGAATATTAGCAAAGGTTCTTTGATTTGAAAAATTAGGTTGTATTTTATCCTTCAAGTTGTTGTTGTGTACTGTCAAGTCAGAACCGAATGATAGCTGACCCTCCAGTGGGTTTTCGTAAGTAATTAATTGCACAGGAGGATATTGCCCATCTTTCTCCCATGAAACAGCTGGTGGATTTGAACTGCATGCCTTCAGGTTGCCAGCGCAGCTCCTAACCACTAGACCACCAGAGCTCTCTGTCCAACATGCAGTGAGGTCTTAAAGGAATTTTAAGCAAGAAATGACCAATGAGATTTACATTGTAGAAAGTTTAGACTATGAACTGAAGTAAAATAGGATTGAAGATAGAAAAAGCAGCTATATTCTTCCTAAGCGTTAAGAAATGTAAGAGCGAGGGCATCCTGGGGTCTGTTACCTCCATGGCTAGAGCAGAAAGGACCCCACATGCTGGACAGCCATCTCTGTTCCAGTGATGCTGAGTGAGGAGCTGCAGTGCCTGGGCCAGGCCAGGATGGTCAGAAAGTTGCAGGGGAAGCAGCTGGACTAACTCCAACTCCTGCCCCAGGCCTTACGTGCCTGAGCCCTGCTCACCCTGGTATGCAAGGCAGTTAGCACATGTCTGGTTGGTGCTGTCTGGAGCAAGAGCTTCCGGGGAAAGATGCTGCTCTTCTCTACCAATGCCCTGAGGTAGACTGACCCCAGATTGCATCAGGCTGCCTCCAGGGTGCTCAGACACCTCAGGGAAGAGGGACACGATGCTCACAAAGGTGGAGGATTTCACAAAGAAAAGGAAGACCCTTGACCAGGTATATTGACATGGTGACTGCCACACCACATGGGATTTAATGTACTGGGAAGTGTGAGGATGGCACAGAACAGAACAGGGCTCATAGGGTCACTTTGGGTTGTACACAGCTTGACGGAACCTAACAGCAGCAACCTGTTAAAACCAAAAAAAATCCAAATCTTTTCCTGCTGAGTCGCTTCTGACTTGTAAGAGTCCCATAAGGAAGAGCAAGGTGTGCTCACTGTAGGGCTTTCAAGGTCGTCATCTTTGCAGGAGCAGGCTGCCCCATCCTTCTCCTGAGGAGCCGCTGTGGGTTCATACATTTTGTTTCTCTGCTGAGTACTTAACCAGTGCATCACTAGGGCTTTATACACTGCTGCTTCTTGTTGTTAGGTAACGCCGAATCGAGTACGACTAATAGCAACCTTATGAACAAAAGATCTGAACCCTGTGTTCTATCCTGTGCCATTTTCACGCTTCCTGACACCCAAGAGCCCATTGCAGTAGTCACTGTATCAGGCCGTCCATAAGATGTTCAGACATCTTTTCCAACACTACAGAGGTGTCAGTTCTTTTTCTGTCATCTTTACTTATTGTCCAGCACTCAGATGCATAGCAAGTAATCAGAAAGACTGTGGCCTGAGTCAGACACACCATAGTCTTCATACACTGCTTTAGGAAATGCTTTTGTAATTTTCTGGACTGGGAAAGAATTGAGTATCTCTTGGAAGGAATCCTATATAACTAAAAGATATATCACACCCTTCATGTGTAAAAGTACCTTTGGAGAAGGCCAGATGTCTGAACACAAAGCTGACATGGGATCACCATTCCCTCACTTTAGCTGAGGAGGATGGCCTAGGGCCAGTTTGACTCCATTAATGTGTATCAGGCATTCCTTTACTTCTTGCTTGCAAGTAGAAAACCTCAATGGTTTGGGGTATGCTTCATGTTTCATTTATAGGAATGAGGAAAGTTCTCTCTGTGTGCTATACTTATATCAGTATCTTTGTATCTATTTGTGTTCCACAGACTTTTGAGAGTGAATTTGAAAGACGTTTAATTTTGGATTTTTCTGAAGTCATGTTTGCCATGAAGCAGTTTGAAAAGGTAGGCAAAATATTAGAATAGTTTTTGTGTTTGATTTGGTTTTCTTTGCCCCCACATCTATCATGATAAAATAATCAAATTTGAGATTGTAGAATTTTTTTTCTTTTTAAGAGAGCAATAATGTATTTAATGTTTTAATTGACTTTTTAAAAAAATACTTCCTTTTTTCATTGTTGCATATTTTCTACCCTCTCTCCAGCCCACTCTGCAATGCACCTCTTACTCCAGATTGGTGCCATACATATAATGACTAACCATATATTCCTTTCTGACAGATCCTACCCTCATCTGATTTAATGCAGTATTCGTTATCCACTCATTTCTCATTCTCTCCCAACCCTCCCACGTCTGTCTTATTTTGTAACAGTGGTGTTATGTAGTATTTGTCCTTTTGTGACAAAACTCAACAAGTCTTCCAGGGTTCCCCATGATGTTTGAAGTTTAACGAGTTCATTGTTTTTCAGTGTTGCATAGTATTCCATGTGTGAATGTACTGTAATTTTTCTATCCATTCACTTTTTGATGGGTACTTGGGTTGCTTCTACCTCTTATTGTGAATAACAGCAATAAAAAAATGAGTGTGCATACATCTGTTTAAGTTGTGGCTCTGGTTTTTTTAGAGTATATTCTCAGTAGTAGACTTGCTGGGTCAAATGTTATTTCTATTTCCAACTTTTTGAGAAAGCCCCAGACCATCTTCCATAGTGCTGTACATTTTATGTTCCCACCAGCAGTGAGTGAGAGTTCCAGTCTCTCCACAACCTCACCAGCATTTGTTGTTTGCTGCCCTGTTGAACTTTGCTATTGTTACTGGAGTGAGATATCTTGTAGTTGTTTTGATTTGCATCTCTCTAATAGCTCGGAATTTTGAACATTTCTTTATGTGTTCATTTGCCACCTGCATGTCTTCTTTTGTGAAGTGTCTATTCATATTCTGTGCCTATTTTGTGATTGGGTTATTTACCTTTTTCTTATTGAGATGTTTCATTGACTCTTTTAAAAAAAAAGGAATTATATTCTAGTTCTCTTTAATATTTGAAAGTTTATTTCAAGTTAAGACATTAAAAATTATATCACGTGGCCAACCTGTTTAACCTTCTTTGGAAGTATTGTCCTCCCACGTGATTTACTACCTCTGAAAACCTACTAGAGGATCAGCTTTCAGTTGGTTCTGACTCAGTACACATAACAATGACAACACACCTACTGATAGTTTGGCTGTATGGAATTCCATATTCTAAGTCATTTCCCCTCCGTGTTTTGAAGCATCTCCATTGTCTTCTACCTGCTATTATATCTGTGGAGAAATTTAACATTAGTATAACCCATGGTCCTTTACTGATGGTCTATTTTTCCTCTCTGGAAAGACTAGGATCTTCCCTTTAGTCAATATTACAGAATTTATACATGTTAATAAATGTGATTTTTCTTTCTTTTAGCTTTTTCTACCAAGCTTTCTCAAATATATTGAGAATTGCTTCTTGACTGATGACATTATGGTCAAAGATGAAGCTCTAGCCATTTTGGCCAAACTTATCCTGAACAAAGCGCCTCCTCCCACTGCTGGTTCCGTGGCAATTGAAAAGTACCCTCTAGTTTTCTCAGAACCGACTGTGGAGTAAGTTTTCTTTTTAATATCTTTATTTGTTGGTAGACTAGTCATTTAAATAAAATGCTTTTAGAATACTATAAGAGTGGCGATTTCAGTCTATCCAGAGGAAGATCAAACTGTTAAAATTTGTTTCCAACAGATCTTAAGGAGAAAAGAGGCAGCTATTAGTGTTTATATACATTTGCATTATTAGAATTGCTGAAAGGATTGTAAATTGGATTGGGGTTTTTTTATGGCATAAAAACAAAATTCTATTTCAGCTTGTTGTTGTTGTTATGTGCCATCAATTCGTTTGTGACTCATAGCGACCCTATGTACAACAGCCCTAAGACCCTGCTCTATCCTGTGCCAATCGCACTGCCTCTGACATACCCATCCCAATTACCCCAGTCACTGATTTCAGCTTAGATAAGAGTAAATAAAAATAAAATACACTGAGGCCAGTCTGCAAGTACAGAAATAGGTTACAAGCTGGTCTGCACAGTGTGGGTTGACTTTGTAATGCTAATTTTTGCCTTTGACTTGTCCTCAGCAGTGTGATACTGTAATAAACATTTATCGGATAAAAGTATCCAAAGAAAAATAAGTTCAGTAATAAGAAATAGTCTATGTTTATATGATACAGGCCTTCCCATTCTAAGTATAAAACACCCTAATATAAGTTAATATAAGCTAATCTAAGATGAGTTCATGAAGCCACCATTAGACATTCATTATGTGAAGTATCATTTGCAAGATGATATTTAAATGCAGAAGACACTAGATCCAGGTCATGGTGGATTCAGGTATAAAAGAAACTTTTGGGCAAAGATCAAGAAACAGTTTCTCAAGCAAATATCCTGTTATTAAAAGCATCTCTTGGGTAATTAATTTGGAGATTTTCAATAAACAATGTGCTCTGTAACCTTCAGAAGCAACTTTTATTGCTTGAGAGAAGCTGTAAATTACTTTCTAATGAACAAAGTTAGCAAATACTCCTTAGAAATGAAAAAACAGCTCTTTCTCTTGGGCTTGGATCAGGGGACAGCCAGGTTCTATCGCTCAGCCATGGCCAAAATCAAGGCTCGGGACCTTCGCGGAAAAAACAAGAAGGAGGAGTTGTTAAAACAGCTGGACGATCTGAAGGTGGAGCTTTCCCAGCTGCACGTCGCCAAAGTGACAGGCGCTGTGGCTTCTAAGCTCTCCAAAATCCGAGTTGTCCGAAAATCCATTGCCCATGTTCTCACTGTTATTAACCAGACTCAGAAGGAGAACCTCAGAAAATACTATAAGGGCAAGAAGTACAAACCCCTGGATCTGCGGCCCAAGAAAACATGTGCCATGCGCCAAAGGCTCAACGAGCATGAGGAGAACCTGAAGACCAAGAAGCAGCAGCGAAAAGAGCGCCTGTACCCACTGCGGAAATACGCAGTCAAGGCCTGAACTTAAATAACGAAAACACAAAACTAAAAAAAGAAATGAAAAAACAGAAGTTTTTTTAAAAGTACGGAAGAGGACTCTGCTACTGTTTTTCAAATAATTGTATGGTTATTCTTCTAGAAATTGTAGAAAATCAGATCCTTGCCATTTCTGTTTCTGTACTTATATTAGACCTGTTGCTGCGTATGCTTGCTTTGGGGTGCGATGATTGGATAGATATTCCTGAAGCATCTGCGGAGTACTCAGCGTGGGGCAGTCATTGAGGAGGGGTTCACTGTTGTGTGTTGACACAGCAGAGTTGGATTTTGGGCTCAGCCAACTAGAGTTTCTGAAGGAATCCATCCTTTTGCCATGGTACTCTTTTGCCAGCTTTGAAAGTCACTTCTCTTCCAGAACGTGCTAACAGACTCACCTTAGTTTTCTAAATTTGATGAGTTCTAATGGCTTGAAGAATAAGTGACGAAGAGCTTCTTTAGGATGATGCCTGTATTCCCCTGGAGTAATTAGTCCTCTTGATTTCACAACGCCAAGCCTAAGTACAACAGGCAGATGGCTTATCAGTGACTGGAACTGTGGGTTCTTCTAGCTTAATGAAGCTACTGTGTTGTTGACCTGCAAGGTAAAGCCAGGGCCTGACCAGGGCTGGGTGTCAGACCTCACACCAGCTCCTCAGCCATCTCAGAGCCTTCCTGGAATGTAGCAGGGTAAGAATAAATACAAACACACAGACACATGAACTTAAGACTAGTTCCTTGCTTCCTTGGGGAACACAACCCTGTGTCTCCCCCACAGAGACGCGGGGAGCATGTGGTCATCTTTGTCCTCATTCCTCTGTAGAGATTGTCTTTTTAGTAATAATTTGAATATTCTTGGGACCTTCCCATCTTCGTAGTTTTGTTATAAGTAATAGAAATGAAAGAACTTTTCAGAAGACAGATTTATTCCAAATGATAGCACTAAGCCTCCAGAGCTCCCTGAGTTAGGTGAGGGGAAAGGCAATGCACAATAATGCATTAATTAGACATTGTAACTAATGAATCATCTTGTTACTGTTGTGATGTGCCATCAAGTCCCCTGTGAATCTTGGCAACCCTATGTACAGCAGCTCTGAACCCTGCCCTATTCTGAGCCAGTCTCACTGACTCCTACACACTTGCCTTCATTACTGCAACCATTGTATCAACTCGTCTCATCTGGGATCTTCTTCTCCTGCACTGTCCCTCCATCCTTCCAACCATGATGTCCTTTTCCAAGGATCAGTCCCTCCTGGTCACGTGTCCAAGTATGTGAGACAGAGCTTCAGAATCCTAGCCTACAAAGAAAAATTTGGTTTCGGCTTCTTCAAGAAAGAATTCATTGTTTTCTTGGCAGTCCATGGTTGAAGACTCTTCTCCAGCACCACAACTCAGAGACATCAATTCCTAGAACACTTGATTGTGCCCATGGGAAACCTATGCTCAGACCAGGAAGCAATCCTCAGAACAGAACAAGAAAACACTGCGTGGTTCAAAATTAGGAAAGGAATGTGTCAGGGATACATCCTGTCTCCATACCTTTTCAATCTATGCAGAACAGATCATTCTGGAGGCTGGGCTTTATGAGGAGGAATGTGGCATCAGGATTGGAGGAAGACTCATTAGCAGCCTTGCTGAAGCTGAAAAGGACCTGAAGCGCTTGCTGCAGAAGGTGAGAGACTGTATTTTTCAATATGGATTGAAGCTCAACATTAGGGAGACCAAGATTCTCACCACTGCACCAATTGGCAGCACCATGATAGATGGAGAAGAGATTCAGGTTGTTAACAGTTACATCCTGTTTTGCTCCACAATCACCACTTTTGGCACCAGCAGTCAGGAAATCAAAAGATGAATTGCATTGGGAAAAATCTGCTGTCAGGGTCTTCTCTGGAGTACTGAGAAGCAACAGTGTTATTCCAGGGACACGTGTACCTGATCCAGGCCATGGTCTTCACAGTTACTTGCTGTCGTCAGAGCTGGGCTGTGACTAAGGATGACAGAAGAAGAATCGATTAATCACATTACTCACTGGTAATTAATGTTACAAAACAAAATGTCTGAATGATTGTGTGAAAATCCAATATAATTTGTAAATGTTCACTGAAATAAGATAAATTTATTCCTTTGTCTGCCAGCATGGAGGTACAGTGATGAATGAGGGAAAAAAAATCTTTCTTTTGGGAAATTATGTTTTTAGAGTAATGGAGGTCATGGTCCAGATAAAATTATCCTAGACAGTGATGAAAGAAAATAAAACTACTACCTGGTGGATGGGCCTTTGTATTTAAAAGTTGGTTGGGCCCTTGAGCCACAGGCCCTTAAGCTGGTTGTTAGTTGTGTTTGGGAAGAATGTTCGAAGTGGTGCAGCACTGGTCTCTCAGTTTGCTGTACTGTGGTAACTTGGGATTGCTGTGATGCTGAATGCTATGCTCCTGGTGCGTCCAATGCCATAATCATTACACATGGTGGAGTTTGGTGGAGTTCCCAGATTAAGACAGGCTTGGAAGCAGAATTGGCATTCACTTCCTAAACAACATGCCTTTGACATTAGAGAAATGATGATAGTTATACAACAGGATTCAGATCTTTTGTTCATTTGCTCACTATGAGTCATGCTCGACTTAATGGCACTTAATAACAACAACAAATTGAGAGGGAGAAAGAAGGAGAATGGGTGGGAGGGAGACATGATGGCTCTGACCACAACTGTAGAGCTAGGAAGGACCCAGCTGTGCAGAGATGTGTATGAAAGGCTTTCCTGGCAAAGGGAGACTCTGGGGACAGCTATAAGCTCTGTGTGCTTAAAGAATAGAAAGGAGACTGATAATGACCAAGAGATACTGGGGAGAGGAGGTGAGAGTCAGGTCACAGAGGATCTCAAAGGTCCAGAGCAAAAGAGGGACTTTTGTTGGAGGTTCATTGGCTGTTGTGAAGCAAGACACCTATGACAGTTGATGGCTCACATCTGTTCACTTGTTAGTATTCAACTACCAGCACCCCTTCCCCAAATGTCCCATACAAGGGAAGAGGCCAGTTTTATTTCCAAGTTCAGAGGATGAAAGCCATGGCATTCTCTCCTGTTTAAACATCTTGTTTTGCTTTTTTATGCTTTCAGATCTTACTTAAGGCAGAAGGTGAATAGATCCAAGGGAAAGAAAGAACAGAGTCCAGTGTTGGATCACCTTTTGTGTATAATCCAGTTGCCTCCAAATAAAGACAATACTTACCTTTCACATTCTTGGGCAGCCCTGGTAGTATTACCTCATATCAGGTAAGACACTGTTTGGTTTGAAAGAGAAGCCTCATGTACCAACTTATTTGCTTATTTGCTGGCCACTCCTTGAGGGTTGATGAAAAGGCCATTGGAGGCCAGTCTGAGCTTTTCCCTTTTTTTCTCCTTACTTGGACAGGTTTCTTGAGAAAGAGAAGGTGATACCACTTGTCGCAGGCCTTATAGAGTCACTCTTCACCACTGTTGACACAGGGAGCTTTGGAAAAGGTCAGTCACAATCGCTGTTTGTTCTCCTCCTTTACTTTACAGGCACATACAGAGTAGATGTAAATACGAAAATAATAATTACATTGTCTTCCAACAAAAGCCTCTGTGTGAGAAATCAGGAAAGAAAGAGGATATGATGGAGGTGTTGCCCGTGATCCCCTCTGTGTGGTGGCTGGATTGTTGTTGTTGTTGTTAGGTACTGTAAAGTCGAGTACAACTCAGACCCGATGAACAACAGAGCTGGGCTGATCCTGTCCTGCTCCAGACTCAGAATCTCTGACACACTCGAGCCCATTTTTGCAGTCTCTGTGTCAATCCACCTGGTTGGGGGTCTTCCTTTTTTGTTGACCTTCCACTTTCCCAAGCATGATGTCCTTCTCTGTGGAACAGCCTCTCCTGGCAACTTGTCCAAAGTATGAGAGATGAAGCTTTGTCATCTTTTCCTCCAAGGAGCACTCTGGCTGTACTCTCTCCAAAACATATTTGTTTGTTCTTTCAGCAGTCTATGGGATGTTCAGTACTCTTCTCCAGCACCACAGCTCACAGACATCAGTTTCTCTTCTGTCATCCTTATTCATTGCCCTGCCCTCAATGAGTAAGGACTAGGTGGCTTGAATGTAAGCCAATCTGAAGGCACATTGTAGAAAAGATGCCAAGACATGTACGAACAGTCATTTTCAAGCCCCACTCTGTAGCAGCCTTGATTTTGGTATCACCTTATGCTCAGGCATTTACTCTGAGAAAGAGGCCTGTTCTTTTACATTTCTCTGGCTTCTCACGAAGGAGTCCTGATGGCACAGTAGTTAAGTATTCAGCTGCTAACTCAAGGGTCAGCAGTTTGAACTCACCAGCTGTTGGTTTAGCCTACGGCTAGAAGCTGGCAAACTTTGTCTGTAAGACTTAACAATAAATATTTTGGACTTTTTGAGCCATACTGGTTGGTTGGTTGGTTGGTTTTTTTAAACCTGTAAAAGTGTAGAAACTCACATTAAGTTGGTAGCCCATTAAACACAGGCTACTGCTAACTTTAGGGATTCAAGAAACATTTTTATTATTCATTGAAGGGAATCTAGACAGTAGACATTGGATATAAGTTGGAGATATGAAACTGGCATACATCTATAGAAAAATGATGTCATATCTTGAGGAAAGTTCTTTCCTCAAAAGTCCTAGTTTCTTTAATGCGATAGATGAAGTCATTTGACTTCCTCTTCATCTCAGTTAAATGAAAACCTCTCAATGAACATGGGGAATTTATAATAATTTCTCTCTTTCTAGCATGCAGGATCTTCCATTTTAGTACTTTCCTAAAGCTATCTTATATATAATTGCAAATCAGTGCAAATAATGACCCCAAGTTCTTTTTCAAGTTCAGATTCACTTATAGTTTTACCAATTATGACTTAATGTTATATCATAAGGGAGCTCTGGTGTCATAGTCCATAGAGATTTGCATGACTAACCCAACGAGCCTCTTAAGATTTGAATGGCTGTCTTCTCCCACGCTATTTAATTGCCTCAGGGACCCAAGGGAGAACCAACTACGCCTTGGTTCTGTCTAGATGGCAACTAGGGAGGGAGTTATGTCAATTAAAGGAACATAAATTTTTAAGTGGCCTAGTGGCAAGAAGCTGTGCTGTAATCCCAGAGATACATGATTCGAGGCTGCCAGCTGCTTCACAGGAGAGGGATGGGCAATCTCCTCCCGTGCGATTAACTGCCTCTGAAAACCTACCGGAGGGCCAGCTATGGGTCAGTTCGGACTTGATAGTACAAAACAACGTCTCTGAATAAGTTTTTTTAAAAATAAATTAGTACATGTAAACTTCTCTGTTTCTGCTACTGTTAAACATTTGATAGATAATTCATTTAGAAGGCACAAGTTTAAGAACTTCATAAAACAAATGTCAGGATACATGAGAGATTTGCTAGTTCATACCAAAAGAAATAGGTAATGTTTCTCCTGTTTTTCTACCTTTAGGAAACTTATTTGTTCTTTGTCAAGCTCTAAGCGCTCTTCTAAGCTTAGAGGAATCTGCTGGACTTCTCAAATTGGTTCCTGTGGAACGTGTGAAGAATTTAATACTGTAAGTAGACACGCTTTCCACTCAGCTTACTGAATAAAATGTAGAAGCATCCTCTTTTATGGACTCCAAGACATAATAAAAATCCTTGCTTTTAACTATTTTATTCCTGAGTTATCGTCACATAATGAATTTTAATATTGATTTAGATACTCTGTTTAATAAGTGTGTTTGCTGGAAAGATCTTTTAAGTGCAAACTCGTTTTTATAAAGGAAGAGTATTTTACTGTGTGTTTATGAAGGGTAAATGCCGTATGTACTGATGCCATTGCAAAAGCCCTTGTACTGTGCTTACCTTCTGTAACTTCTCCAGTGAGTCCAGCTACCCCATTCCCCTGTCTCTGACTTTATTCCCACCTCACCTTGACATAACATGGCAGAAAACTGTGCTCGTCCTTTTTTGTGCTTTACAGAAGGTTTATAGAGCAGTTGGTTTTCCATTCAAGCCTTCTTACAGATTTTGTTTTAGGTAATGCATTATTTTCCCCATTATATCCCTTGTTACAAATGATTTTGGACCTCTCTGGAGATTTTGAATGGAAAACATACTCTGTGCAGAGTGGCATCAGTGTGGCCTGTGCAGAAGGCTGTCGCCCTCCCAGTTGGGTGGCTCCTAGCCTGGAAGAGTGAGCCTGTCATTCCTTTTGTGTAAGTTGTTACTGCCTGCCTCTCAGTACTGCATGGATGTGATGATTAAGTACATGGATTTCACAACAGGAGCAGCCTAATTTTGCATCTTGTCTCCATCATTTACTTGTTCTGTGACCTTGGGCAAGTCTAACCTCGGATTCATTATCTCCCTAAAGAAGATGATAGCACTTTCCCCTTGGAGATTAAATTAGACCATGCATACCGTAATAACCATATGCAAATTTCATTTATTATATTCTTATTATGCACCAGTCTCTGTTCTGTTCACTTTGCATGCATTATTGAGTTTAATTCTCGGAACAGCTCCATGAAATAGGTGCCATTATCATTATAGATGAGAGAACTAAAAATTTCACATCCTTCCAGAATCCACTTCTTTCTCAGCACCCTCGTTTAAATTGCCACCATATCGTGCGTGGAGATTATTGCATTAGCCTATTAATGTGTGTTTCCTTCCTGCCACTCTTGCCATGCTGCTTTTCGCTTCTGGAAGCAGATTGAGCTTTTAAAATACGACAGGTCCACATCACTCCTTTGTTCACAACTCTGTAGAATAGTGATTCTCAACCAGGAACGACTCTGGAGACATGTTTGGTTATTGCATTTGAGCTTCTGGTACTGGCATCTAGTGAGCAGAGGTCAAGAATCCTGCTATACATCTTATAGTATATATAAAAGCATTGTTGTGAGGTGCCATCAAGTTGAATACGACTCATAGAGACCCAGTAAACAAAAGATCTGAACCCTGTTCTATCCTGAGCCATCCTCACACTTCCTGACACACAAGAGCACATTGCAGCAGTCACCTTGTCAATCCACTTGGTTGAGGGTCTTCTCCTTCCCTCCACCCTTCCCAGCATCATGTTCCTTTCCAAGGAATAGCCTCTCCTAGCAACATATCCAAAGTATGTGAGGCGAAGCCTCATCATTCTTGCCTCCAAAGAACACTTTGGCTGCACCCCATCCAGTGCTCTTCTCCAACACCACAGCTCAGCAGAATCAATTTTTTTTTCTTCTTCTGTCATCATTAATCATTGCCCAGCTCTCTGATGCATAGCAAGTGATTGGAAAGACTCTGGCCTGCCTCAGACATACCTTAGTCCTCAAAGTGACATCATTACTCCTCAGAAATTTAAAGACAAAATATAGTAGTGTGGTGATAGAGCCCAGATTGGAAGTCAATTAAAATGAGGGAAAAACAATAAGAAAGAAATATCATTTAATAATTGGAACATGGAATGTATGTAGCCTGACTGTTGGAAAACTGGAAATTGTTAAAAATGAAATAGAATGTGTGAACATTGACATTCTAGACATTAGTGAGATGAAATAGACCATCTTTGGCTACTTCGAATCAGACACTTTATGGTATACTATGCAAGGAATAAAAAAAGAATGATGTTGCATTCGTAGTCAGAAAGTCAAATTTCAAGTTCTTATCCTGAAATACAGTGTTGTGAGTAATAGGATAAAATTCTTACGCATACAAGAAAGACCCATTAACACGACTGTTATTCAAGTATATGCTCCTACATCTGGAGCCAAAGAAGAAGTTGAGAATTTTTACCAAATCTTGTAGTCTGAAGCTGACCAAACATGCAATCAAGATGCATTAATGATAATTGGTGACTGGAATGCAAAAGTGGGAAACAGTGAAGAAGGAATAGCAGTTGGTAAATATGGGCTTGGTGATAGAGCAACAGTTGTTAACTTGACACAAAATACTGGTAGCCTGCAGTTAAAGGAACAGAACTGCTCCAATAGTGTCTTATCTCACCAGAACAGAATCCAAAGACTTTCTCCTGTTCCTCATAGTGCTAAATATGGTGTGTTCTCACCCCGGCCACTCTGCCCTCATCTCCAGTTGCTTTTCTTTGTTAATACAGTTTGAGTCACACTGTTCTCTTAGATATTCTTCAAAAAAGACAAGCACACCTTTCTGGGACTCAGTGTGGATGTTCCTTTTGCCAAGAATGCTTTTCTTTTGGATAGCCACATGGCTCACTTCTTCACCTCCATGTCGGCCTTTAGAGACTGCTCAGTAGTAAATCATTCTCCTCTTCACTCTCCTTCATCCATATATTTCAGTCTTTTGCTGTAGCTTCCTTCCCTAGTGACTTCTACATAGCATTCCTTATTGTTACGCTCAATATTGAGATACAGTGATGTTTTTGTTATGTGCCATTCAGTCGGAACTGACTCATACCTGACCCTCCAGTGGGTTTTTAGGGGCAGTAAATCTTAGGGGAGGAGATTGCCAATCTTTCTGCCACAGAGCAGGCTAGTAGATCGAACCGCATGCCTTTGGATTGACAATACAGCTTTTCACTGGTGGGACACCACAACGCATGTAGGTATAGAAGATTTATTTATTTAGTTGTGGTGGTGGTAGCCTGCTCTTGAGTTGGAATTAGCCTCTAGTGTGTGTTCAGAGGCTCCAAATCTCACAGGAGGAGATTGCCCATCTTTTTCCTATGGAGCAGCTGGTGGATTCAAACTGTATGCCACTTAGTTAGCAGTGCAGCTCTTTGCCACTAGGCCACACAGCTCCCTTATTTACTTGTTACCTCCTCATACTAGAATCTAAGCTCTAGGAGGACAAGGGCTCTTTCATTTCTTTAAGACTATCACTGTATCTAGAAAATCTCTTATTGTTAGTATGTGCCATCAAACTGAGTGCAACTCATAGCAACACTTAGAACAACCGATGTGAACGCTGTCCTATCCTGTGCCATTCTCATCATCTCTGATATACTTTAGCCCATTACTGTAGTCACTGTGTCAAGTCCCACTCATTGAGGGTCTTCCTCTCCTGCACTGACCTTACACCTTTCCAAGCATGATGTCCCTTTCCAAGGAATAGCCTTTAAGTATTGACATGAGGCTTTGTCATCCTTGCCTCTAAGTAACATTCTGGCTACACCCTCTCTAAGACATACTTTTTCGTCCTTTTGACAGTCCATGGGCTATTAAGTACTCTTCTCCGGCACCCACAACACAAAGGCATCAGCTACCCTCCCTGCCCCCATCATCATTAGTCATTTCGCAGCTCTCAAATGATAACAAGGGACTGAAAAGACCATGGTCTGAGTCAGGTGCACGTAGACACTTAGTAAACACTGGTTGAATGACAAATGGCAAATTGACTTGAAAACACTTGTGTAATGTTACCCTGCTGGTAACTAATGGGGCTGGGTTCAAACCGAGGCTGCCTTACTCCAGAAGTCATGTGGACTGCATCCCTGCTTCCCTTGCTAAAACAATGCCTGGCATGTGGCAGACATTTACTTGTAGTGTTTACATCGTCTATTTAGGTGAGTGTCATTTTACAGTCTGGGAACCTGAACACTACATGTAGCCAGAATTGGTGGTGGTGGTGGTGGTGTCCTGTGCTGTTAAGTCAGACCCGACTCATAGCTGACCCTCCAGTGAGTTTTCAGAGACCATGAATCATACAGCAGATTGCCTGTCCTTTTCCTTTGGAGCAGCTGGTAGATTTGAAGTGCATGCCTTTGGGTTGGCAGAGCAGCTCCTCATCATTAGGCCATCAGAGTAGCCAAAATAGCATATGCTGTTTTGTATGGTATTTGCCAGTTCCTGACACACGGCAGACAGTAAATACTCTATATCTCCCTTTTATGTGCTTCTTAATTTTAACAGGGATGGGGCTGGGGGCAGCCGTGAGGACGCAGCACCAGAGTTACTACAGTCAGAATAGCTATTACGGTACATTTCTGCCTCCAACTAGCTGTGTGTCCCCAAGTTTGTAACTGGGCCTTGGATTCTTCTACTGTGAAATAATGCCATATGTTCACATAAAACTCATTTCTTTCAGCAGTGATTTTTCTACAGTTTATATTACAGTCTGAATCCCTGAGGTACAATGAGCAGTTCCGTTCTAATCAATACTTTATTGCAGGACGTTTCCTTTGGAGCCATCTGTGTTGCTATTGGCCGATCTCTATTACCACAGATTATCTCTGTGTGGCTGCAGAGAGCTACTTTCCCAGGAAGCTTTGATGGAATTGCTTCCGAAGTTAGAAGCCAACATTTCAACTGGTATATCCAAGGTAATGCTGGTGTGTGGTGTGGTCTGTATCTTTTCTTGTGTTCTTTTTTTTTTTTTTTTCATAATGCCAGAATTCCTAAATCATATAATGCTGCAGTGGGATGTTTTGTTTAAAGCAGTGGTTCTGAAGTATTGGCCTGTGAACTGATGGTAGCTCGATTAGTTGGAGAGCTTAATAAAAATAAAAATGCTAGATCTCTACCCGAAAGATTCTGATTTAGCAGAACTAGGAAGAACTGAAAAGTCTGTATGACTTGATAAAGAAAGCCCTCCAGGGGATGCTGCTGCCTGTGCAGGGACCTCCCAGAATACCTTATTTAAGAATAACAGTCATTTGAGTTGAATTTTAAGACTGATCACATGCTTCGCACTGTTTCTAGAGATGCTCACATTGTCATGGTTTAAAGAAACAATATGGCAGCTTCATCTTCTATCGAGTTCTATTTGAAAAGTTGTTGTTATTGAAGGTAAAAAGGGTATAGTGTGAACATGTATTACTCTCATCAAAGGTTCATTTCTCCTGGTTGTATGAAACTTCGATGTCACCAGCTACTGATCATTTTCTTAATATGGTTAAACTCTGGAGTTTGAAACTTGTCTTTCTCTTTCTTTAGATTCGACTTTTGACAATAAGGATTCTAAACCATTTTGAGATTCGGCTTCCAGAACTTATAGAGGTATTTTAACTGTTCAGAGTAGATACTTTTTTAAAGTATACTTTGATGTATATATCTTTTTATTTCTGAAATGATGCCTTTGCAGGACCTTCAAGCACCATCTAAATAACCTATGTGAGAATTTGGAATTTTTTCAAAAAAATTCTTATTCCCATCTACTGTCAGGACCATCACTAAAAATCCACAGTACTTGATGTATTATTATTATTATTATTATTATTATTATTATTATTATTATTTCTGATGTTTGTGTACAGAAGCAGATTTGGTGGCTTCGTAGTAAGGAGTTACATTGCCAGTCCAGGGCAGGCTGTTCAAATCCACCATATGCACTGTGGTGGAAAGTTGGACAGGCTCCTACCTTGTAGTTTACTGCCTGTGAAAAGCTGCTGGAGGGTCAGCTATGAGTCAGATCTGATTCAGTGGTCCCTAACAACAACAATGTGATTAATTCTTATTTGTGGATATTTTTAAGCAACAGTGGTATCATGAAGTTGTCTCTATTAGTACTTCTAATTCTACTCTTTTTAAAAAAAAATTTGAGTAGTAGTCTAGTTAAAAATAATTTACTTCATCAACTCCATGTTGAGGGATGTTTAAGTGGATTGTTTCTAGTTGTAGAAGCCTTTTTTCCCCCAAACCTTTGCCAAGGTACATATTTCCAGAATGCAACTTACTTGAGGTACGATATTAGCATAAAAGTGTACTTGTGTGTTTATTTTCTTTTGACACTGATATTGCCAATCAAATGGAATGAGTGAGAATAACTTTCTCGTTTTATATTTGTCATTTCTACATTAGAAACACAGGGTAAATTATCTGTCAAAAAAATTAGGTGATGTGAAGAAAAGCACGTCGTTTAGATGTGAAAGTATTGCTTATTTAATGTAAAGTGTTAACATGTCACAGTTGTTCCTTTTTTAGAACTTTGGTCACATTTTAGCATACTTTGTTGAAAACCATGATACTGACCTACATTTGTGGTTTCCTCTGGCCAGGATGACGGGCTGTCAGAACGCCAGACTGCCCTTGCTGTAATCCGCCAGGCTGAACTCATCCCAGCAACGGTGAATGATTACAGAGAGAAGCTGCTTCATTTGCGGAAACTGAGACATGATGTGGTGCAGACCGCAGTCCCAGATGGGCCACTGCAGGAGGTAAACTTTCTTGTGTGTGCTTTAAAATTTGTTTGACTGGCTTTTGAAAGGGGATGTTATCACACATATAATTTTTTTAAAAAAGAGATCTAGTTCTCGTCAAAGCTTTGAGTGAAATCATTCTACCCACTTTATAAGTAATAGAGTACTATACCATCATCACTTCTCCGTATGAGACAGTGTAGAAGCAGAGACAACCAGTCCTCTTCCTGTTGGAACAAGCATCTGCCCTGGCAGTTTCTTTGTTTGGTGTCTCTGCCTTCATTAATTTACATTATCTACTGCATGAGCCTTTTAAAATGTAGTTCTTCACTTTTTATCAAATTTCTAACTTCAAGTCCAAATGTATTTGATACATTTGCAAATGATCCCTAAAAGTGGAGTCCAGTTTTGTTGATATGAGCTCTGGTGGTCAGGACTTATGCTGCTACTCAAAAGCATGCCTTTCTATTCCATCATCGGCTCTGAGGGGGAAACGTGGACGTTCTCCTCCCATGCATTTTATAGCCTCTGAAAACTCAATGGACAGCCAGCTATGAGTCATTTCTGATTTGACAAAATGAGTGAGTGAGTGATAGTTCCAGAATGAAGATTCCATCCTCTCTTTTTGAAAGAAGCTTTATAGGGTAGAGTAGAAATTATTATGGACTGAGTATGGATTAAATAAGAAAACAGAATAAACTGTTCTGGTCACCAGCCTTATGACATACCTATGTAATTGCATAATAGAGTGATCAAGATTTTATACCTGGCCCACAATGAATCCTTAATTCACTGGATTTCTCTAAAATTATATTACCTAAATATAAAATACTTAGAACAGCCCTAAACACTTAGTCATTATATTGATCTTTTATCAAGTGTATATTGACTAGGTAAGTGTTGGAAATATAAAAAAAAAAACAACAATTTCCACCTTCAAAAAGATCACCAGCGTGGAGGTTGGGTGGACTAGGGAACACACTGTTGCTCTGTGGTATAATATGTTCTAGAATAGATGGAGGATGTTGTGGAGGCTGCTTGTGCTGCCCATGCAGAGGGGAGTTTACTCTAGGTGAGAACATGTATGCTTGCAGCAAGGTCTGAGAGAGCATGGGCGGTGCGAGGGCATTGTCTGCAGTTTGATGTGGCTCAGAGGGTCTGGGGTAGATCTTCTTCGACAGTTTGATCTGATGGTACAGATACTCCCTCCTTGTGCCTTTTCAAACTGTTTATAAAGGTGATTTTGTTGTTGTTCTGCTCATTAATTATCAGTAGACAGTTGTCTTTCTTTATTTTTCTTTCTTTAATGAATTCATTAGGTGGGATATTCCTTGAGTAACTGGCATCTTTTATTGATCAGTTGTGTCCATGGCTTTGCCCCCACAGTAGGTTTCCAGTGACTGTCTATAAAATGGGGAGTGAATACTGAAGAAATTTTTCTAGTTGATTTTTTTTTCTTATTATTAAA